CTAAAGAATTTATTGATATAATAAAGATATTTAAGGAACAGTTGGAAACGATCCAACATTTCCCATATAAACACCCAAAATGGGATCACCACAAGCTTTCTTATGTATACTGTCTTGAAATTATAGTCATGTACTAAAAATACAATGACAATTATTGAAAAATTAAAATAATACAAAAAATATTCATTTTTTATTAATATCATTTTAATGTTAAAACAAATCACTACATTATAAACACTTAATATTATAATTCAATTTAGTAATTGATGTTAACAATTAGTTTAAATATTCATAAATAATGATAAAGTATGGGAAATAAAGCGTGTTTATTAGTTTATACAGTAGTAAGCTTATTTAAATAATTAATTTTTAAAAATTAGTAATATTTTAGGAATTAGGAACATATGTTAAAAATGTTAAAATTTATTGTTTAATTTGTTATTGATAATATTTGAAACAAAGTTCAAGGATAATTTAATTTTTTTTTGTTTACAAACCCTACTGTAGTGTAGGGTTCAGTTATTTCTTGAGTTTATTTCCAATGTATTTGAGATAAATGTCCGGTTTTTAATACCTTAATCCTAATCTGACATCAATTTTTTGATAGCATTCCTAAAAACGCCAAAACTATGAATTATAATATAAAGTTATTGAAGTGATGAAGCATTTAATATTTATTGTTAAAAATGACAGTTTTAAACAAATGTTTTACTTTAATTTCATACAAAACAAATTAATATTAACTTTAATTACAATGTTTTTCACAATTTAATTATCTGCTATGTTTACACCTGTTTTATCTCTGACAAAACCTGTATTCTAGATCAGAATTGAGCAAAATATTGGGCAGAAAATCCATCAGAACTAATAGGAAACTAATGGGAAGGAAAGTCATTCTCAATCAAATCAACGAAACGTAAGAATAAAATAAATTATTTGATTTTAATATTAAAATTGTTATTCATTATATAAATTATTATTTTATGTGTTTATTAGCGAAACAAAACACTACTCCTCATCGAATTTGTCGACCGATTTTCAAACGCATAGAATTGTCATGAATTTTACCCAAAGTTCTCTCAAATTATACAATAATGAGACAAACATTGCATTCAAAGCCGACATCACATCTCAAACGTTGAATTCATCGCTCAAAAGATGCCAACAGTACTTACAATTGCATCAAATACTTGACACTAATGTTAACAAAACGAAAGACATTTGTTCAGCAATTTATTCATTTTATTGCGATATTAATAATTGTAATCAAAAGATAGTCCAACAGAGGATCACATAATATGTTATTCATTCACACATTTTCTCATAATGTTTAACACATTCTCATTTTATTAAAAATTGTTTTTTAATTAAATTAAAAATTTAATAAATTATCAATAAATAAAAAATGAGATATTCGTTCACATTTGGTCGTCTCTAATCATTTGTGATCCGTATTCAGCGATCATAACAGTTGCGGGCAAATGGTTGGCGTTAACCACTTGAGGCATTATCGACGCGTCCACCACTCGAAGTCCCCTCACGTTTATCACTCGTAGTCTCTCATCGACCACAGCTTTGCTATCGTTGGCCGAACCGCACCGACAGCTCCCGACTTATCAAATTCAGAGCAAATATTTACCATCTATTAAAAGACCACTTAATGTCGATCACATACCGTGTCTATAGACTGCTTGCGCTGTTTGTCTCACTAAACACCTGAGGTATGAATCGCAAGTGTCATCGCCGGCGCATTTGACACATCCGGGAACTGTTGTGGTTATTCGACGGGTCTGTGCGGCGAACGGACCAACTGTTGAGATGCGAGTTATCATATTTCTGATGCCATTGACGGTAGAGTCCATATCATACGAGTCGCCCAAATAGTTTGGGTCCACAATTGGCAGCGCGTTTGGGTCACTGGAGGCGAGCCTAACTGTGCCGCGAGCTCGTGGTCTCACCATTTGATTGTACATTAATAAAAGCCGTCGACCTTTTAATTAACCGGATGTGAATTAAAAGGGTTTTAAAACAAATATTACAAACACTATACCGACATATGGTTTCCAAAACTCTTCCCATTCTTTAACATGAGTTCCGTATTGTCTAACGATGTCCGGCAAAGTATACCACAAGTTGTTACTGCGGGTCATTTCAGTCATGATGTCGGGCCAGTCGGGCTGGTTGTTGACGGGTGTGACCTGATATGTGGCCGCGTTTGGGAACATTGTGAGAGCGCCCGCATTATTGACATAATATTCGTATAGGTTTTGGACCGTCAGCTCTACGAACTCATACGATTGGCTCTGATTTAAGATATCATAGTAGAGGACAACTGAGGTGTGATCGTGGAAATTGTCGCCCACCGGCAGGTCTGACACCATCGGTATGTTTAGGCTATTTAAGTGGTCTTTATGTCCGATTCCTGACAGCATTAGTAGTTTAGCGGAACCGATGGCACCTTTTGGTCATTTAAATTATAATTATAATTATTTTTAATCAGAAACTATAGTATAATATAATGTTGCGACAAACCGGCAGATAATATAACTTCGCGATTGGCGTTAACTGTATATTGAATGCCATTTCTTGTAAATACAATTCCTCTTGCATTCAAACCACTGAACAATATCTTTGAAGCCACAGCTCGGGTGAGAATATGTAAGTTATTTCTATTGAGATTCGGTGTTAAATAAGCGGAAGAAGTGGTCACTTTCAGGCCATCCTTTATTTGGTGCTGAAATAATGTTG